AGGGGGTGTGGCATATGCAAATAAGTTATGCTAATGAGTTATGCTAATGAGCTCCTGCGCCTCTTTTTCTACGAAATGACCCCTGGTTGTGACCATTCCATTCTGAACTCTTCTTCTATGTAACAAAAAGCCAGCTCATGTTTCAACTCCACAGAGGGGTTCATAAAACCACATGTGTTAAGGATATGAAGATTTGTTGTGACAGTCTCTAGTCAAGGCAACAACTGCCATTTCAAAGTTATTGTTTTCACCATAACAATTCTGGTACTGGCGTGTCAATATATATTTAAAGTGTAATACTTGGAATTTAAAAATGGCATAGGATAGCTTTGGGGAATATCTGATTATGCATGCGCATAATCCCTTTCAACAAATTATGCACAGACATTTAGGAGTCACTGTGCCCCTGTGTGACACTGATTAGAGGTATGTTGTGCTTTTAAGGAGTGAACAAAATCACATCACAGGAAGAGTTAACTCTATTGTGCTAGGAAAGAACGGACTTCTTAAGCAAGGAAATACTGACCTCCAATAGCAGCTTTGCACTTGAAATATTTTCACGGTAGCATTTTCCTACCTGTGCTCTTTCTACAACAGAAACCACGTTTCTAGCGTAATTATGGAAATATCTTTTGCAATCGGTCTTTCCTTATTTCTGGAGTTACAGCTTGATCCAACTGCTGGATATTGATACCGAAGTTGCAACAGAGTAATATATTAAACTTTTATATTTGAATACAGTGTTTTCCCCAAACATTGAAGCAATGTGCTTTACCATTGTTTTCACAAATGCACGCATTTTTAAAAAAGGAAATGTATGTAACTTTTTTTTTCTCTGAGGAAATAAAGGGCTCCATGTATTTTAAAACAAGTGATTCTATGTAAATAAAACAGGGGGACTCACCAATGGCTGTGAAATCCCCACACACACACTGTGTACTCAACGCTCAACAGCATTTCACCACTTAAAATAAAATAAACATTTTGTTCCTAACCCTGACCTGGTTTAATTTGTTATAAGTGCACAACTTCAGTTTGTTACATTGGATTTTTAAAATGACTCTGATTGTATACAATTACTGTACAGATGAACTGACCTTCCACTTTTCTTTGGTTGACCTCGTTTCTGTTTTTTTAAATAAGATCTATTGTATCTGATGGACAATGATATAACGTGAGCTAAAATGATTTATGTCCTGGCCTTCTAAAAAGTACCTCCAAAGACATCCATTTGCTTTTTCCCAACTTTTGCTTCCAGAGGTGAGCCTTCTTAATGTAACATGACCAGGTTATTATCTATATGTAAGAGAGTGGTTGAATACTGAACTGTGTATGCCTGGCTTGCAGAGCTGCCAAGACAAACACAGCCCACCAGATGCTTATGGCAGTAGACCAGGCTCTGGATAAGCTTGTTTTTGCTCTGTGCCTGGAACTGCTGAAACAGAAGAGTTGTTAAGCACCTGGCAGACCACAATACATGGCTGGTGGACTGTGTTTGGCATGAGTAATCACAAGTTGTTCCAGTCCACTGTTACAAAATTCAGACTGTTCAGAGCTGGATCACATGATCAGCAGAAGTAACCCTCCTAGAGATGCCAGCCACCGGAATTACAGCTCATCTCCAGACTGCAGAGATCAGTTCTGGAGAAAATGGCTGGTTTGGAGTGTGGGCTCTGTAGCACTGTATCCCACTGAGGTCCATGTCCTCCCCAGGCTCCATCCCCAAATCTCTAGGGGTTTCCCAACCTGGATTTGGTAACCCTACCTCTCTCCTTGCTAGTGGCCAGCAGGGACTTGGCAACCCTATACCCGCCCCATCTCTGCATAAACATGACTGCTGATGTATTCATATGCTTACAATCATCCTTTTATGTCAAGCAGTCATATGGCTACAGTTACTGTGGGTTGTGAGATTTTGGTATGAGAGCTCAACAGCACAAGGCTTTTAGAGGGTGTCAAATCACCTGGTCAGTTTGCAGTTAATTTATCAGGCCCCAGTTTGCCTACCACTGGTAGATACCACTGATACGTATTCTAGTTATCCTTTCTGCAACATGGAGGGAAAGAGTACCTTAGTTTTTAGAGGGCAAAGGGAAATCAGAGCAGTTTGGCTTGTGGCCCTTATAGTAAATGGCCTGGCCTGTCGACCACATCTGATTAGTTTGAGAGCTTTGACAGACACAAGAAATTATGGAGCTTTTGAGAGGATGTATGGTTTGTAGGCTTCAAGGCAAATAAGGTGAGTTTTAAACACCTACACACAATGCCAGGAGTTGTAGATTATTGTACATGGCTGTGGTAGTAATTCACCCAACAGTCTGGTGGTAGATGCAACTGACTATATTGCTATATGCAGTGCTTTTTCTGTGTAAACCTCCCCCCCCCCCCAGAAAGCAACAAAAAAAGTGCTGGTACTCATATATAAGGCTGCACCAATTTCTTCCAATTCCCCCCTCAAACTTGGGAGAGCAGCAGGTACCAGTGAGTACCACCCCAAAAAAAGCCCCAGTTATGTGAGAACCATGCTGAATAAATCCACCCTACATAAACTATTGTACACTGTACATTGCCTCTCAGAGATATATTCCACAAAAGTTCATTTCACCTGAGGCACAGCCAGGTATTTCTATTGAGGCCAGGCTGAAGGCTATTTTTGTGTGTGTGTGTCCCCCCATAAAATCTTGAAGAGGTCTCTGACATATTTTGTGATAGGTATCAATGCAAAACTCTGAAGCCATCCGAAAGCATGAATTATATTATTACAGAATGTACAATTTAAATGGGCAAAAAAACAGTTGCATAATGTAATGGACAATGATCCACCAGTGCATTAGCAGACAAATATCTAGATAGATCAGTGTTAAAATGGTTTGTTACTTAATTTTTGTCTCAGCATATAGTACTCTTTTTGCCATTTACCCTTGAGGACTTCCACCCTATTAAATGGCAATTTTAAACATCTCAGATCTGTGCCATTCGTAGCTTTGTACCATGCATTTGCTCCCTGCTGGTGGTACACGGAGGACTGATTGAGTGCATCGATTGTTCAGTAGGAGGCTGACGAGAGTGGAGGTCTGGCAGGAAGCTGGACCAGGTCGCATTTCAGTCTTTTTCAGCTCTTCACTTATATTTGTCCATGAAATAGTCACCATCTAAAAGTTGCTTTAAAATGGCCCTTAATGGTAAAAGTCTTTATGTGGCAGCTCTTTCATGCACAGATCAAGCACCTTTTCTTTTCCAGGTCTTCTGGCATCGCGAAACACCAATGGACATCTGAGTTTATTAGGTCTCCAGAGTCTCCAGACACCTGCTCATCACTAAGGACCACTGTACCTCGCTGTCCTCTACTTGCTACTAGCTGCAGTGACTGAAAGGAATTCCCATATAAAGAAGCAACACCAGGAACACCTGTATGCCCTGGTTGTTGGTCTTCCACGGCAACTGGTTGGTCACTGTGTGAGACAGGATGATGGACTAGATGGGCTACTGGTCTGATCCAGCAGGCCATTCTCATGTTCTTATGCTTAAAAAGAGTTTCTGTACAGCCAAAGGAAGCAGGTCTTTCTCACAGGCACACCCCTATCTTATATAAAAAAACCCATGTAATATAATAGCACCAAGCACAGTAAACACAAAATCGTGTGCAAGCCTTGAAGTTCTCAAGAAGGGGGAGAGACAAAAGATGTTTCAGACTCTGATCTTAAGGCCCAAGTAGGTATGCAGATTTTAAATGGTGCTTGTGTCAGCCTTCCACACAGGGGTCTTACACGATGAGCCTGAAATAGTCATTGTGGCCTGAAACATCTCCTCTCTCACCCCATTTTAACATCAATTCTACTTTGTGATTTCAGTTGTTCCTGACAAAACCTATTAAATGGCTTTTGTGTCTAGACTTTGCTTTGGACCATTGCAGTTACTTAGAGCTCCACCCCTGTCTTATGTAAGTCTGCACCAAATAGTCTTTGATTTTGATACTCCAATCAAAAGTTGAAAATCTGAGGCTGCCCAACAGAATACTGGGGGGAAATGCACACCTCACCAAATTCTGCTGCTGCTTCTCAAAACCAACACTCTCTCTAAGCTGTAGAGTCTTGTGAGCAAAAATTCTACTTTGTGAGTTACTGTACTGGCATGAAAGTTGTGAGCAAGCAATTTGGCTACTGCATAAATTAGTTTGCTCTGGTGCCATCCTTCCTGGTTTAAGACAAAAATGTGTGAGCCGGGGGCTAAAAGCCTGAGCTAGCTGAGAGGGAACACTGCTCAAGCCCATTCCTTTTCCTACTTTGCTCACCCCCACAGCCCATGTTGCCATGTAGTCAGAGAACTGTAACAATCTGTGTGACGTTCATGAGTGTTTTTGATGTTATAATGTCAAACATAGGCTCATGATGTCCTTGGGAAATCACAAAGCTCACCGCACTAAACAGGATTAAAGAGCAGTGAGGGCAAATTAGAGTAAAGGAGGAGGATTAAGGAACTGAGCATTGAAACTCCATGAATGTGCCAAAATCTCTAATTAAATAAAGAACAAGAAACAGGTTAAGTAATTTTAGTTCTGCGTAACTCTCACAGGAGGATGCAAATGCTTTGTGCAACAAAGAACTCTTTTGTACATCCTCCACTCCCATGGCCACCTTGGGGTGCGTAGCTTAACTGTGGAATCCTAAACCGAATTACACCCTTCTAAATCCATTGATGTCAATAGCTATAGAAGGGTGTAACTCTATTTAGAACTGCAACTGCAAGTCATGGTGGATGCAGAAACACTTTACTAGAGATGGGGTGTCTGTGGATATATTGATCATACCCAAATGGCTTACACACTTTGCATTCTTTGCTGAATCTGAGACCTTTTACACATTGCTGAAGCACCTTACTCATACAAATACTGCCCTTGCTATATAATGAAGCTGAAATTCAGTAACCGAGTACATCTTTTCTGTGCAATTTCCAGCAAAGGTTATGTATAGCACTTTTATATGATATACTTTATTCTGGGTGGTATTGGACGGTTCCTGTCTTGTTGTCACTTACAGAATCGGAACATCGGATAAGCATTTGGATTTTTTTAAAAAATTACTCTGGTGTATTGCGTATTTCCAGTGGTAGGTTTTGTTTGGTTTCATTAAATGTTGTCATTCATTTAAGTATTCTAGCAGCCACTCTAGCAATTAAAAAAAAAAAAGAACTCAACCAAACCAGAAATCCTTTGGTCTTTCATCTTCCATGGTATAGTTAGGGGTACTCTGTCCCAAGCCAGATTTCACATGCATTTCCTGTCCAGCCTTCCCAGCACTCACAGTTTCCACAGCTACATATACCGTTTCCTGGAACAAAACAACACGATCTATAATTATCCATAACTAAAATATGGCACATAAAAGTGTTGCTCTGTGAAATGTAGCAAACCAGAATGAAATAGATTTCATTGTCCATGTATGTTTCTCTTTCAAGACCAAACTTGTTTTACTTTTAATTCAGAAGTTATCCAAAATCTACATTTCCCAACAGGTAGCAAATTTAATTTTCAACTGCATTATCAAGAAAAAATGCTTTAAATTTAGCCGTCCACATTTATGGTCTCTGTGCTGTCTTAGTGTTTAATTGGAAGGGAAAACAGGCCTCCAATACTATGATTTGGGCTGCTGGCACTAAACCTTTCTAGCAAGTGGCTCTGGAGCAAGCCAGCATAATATTTTGGCCATGTAGGGTAGGATCATGGGAGGGAAGGTGGCATGGTATATAGCTCAATCTCATCAAAATTCAGAAGCTAAGCAGGGTCAATACTTGCATGGGAAACCACCAAGCAAGGCTCTGCAGAGGAAAGCAATGGTAATCCACTCCTGAATTTCACTTGCCTTGAAAGACCCTTTGCTGGGGTCACCATGAACTCGTTGTGACTTGATGGCATTTATGTTCATAGGATAGGATTCAGGAATTTGGATCTGTGCAGGGAATACTTGTGTCCCATAATCCTGATTGATAGCTTAACTCTTCCCCCTAGTTCAGATCACCCTACACAGCCATGAATGACCTCTTGCCAGAGTTTCCCCAGTCTTTTCATGGAATTTCTTGTAACACCACTTATTCCTTAACCATGTACTCTAGATGGCATAGACATTTCTAACACAGTTTACCATATTTATTTATTTAACTTATTTATTTAAAATCCCACCTTATCACTTTGTTCAAGGTGGCAAATAAGCAACCAATTTATAAGAGGAAGAAAGTAGACCCCCTTCCCTTGTGGTGGCGTTTGGTGGAAAGTGCCGTCAAGTTGCAGATGATTTACGGTGATCTCATAGAGTTTTCAAGGCAAGAGAGGTTCGGAGGTGGTTCACCACTGACTGCAACCCTGGACTTCCCTCGGGGTGGTCTCCCATCAAATTATTAACCAGGGCTGACTCTGCTTAGCAGCCTAGATCAGATGGGCTATCCAGCTCAGGGCCCCTTGCATTACTATGGCTTACTAAGTCCATAAACTTCTGCTAAAGGCAATTTATACCATTAAAAGTCTTGTCTGCTCCCCTGGTGTCTAGTTGTTATTGGGGGAGGCTGTAGAAAGATGGGTTCACCATGCATGTTCTAATCACACCAATCAAAAGGCAATGCTAAACTTTTCTATGTACTGGAAGCATGACAAGACAATTTGTAAATCATTCTTGCATATTCTCTGCTTCCTTGTAATCTCTGCAAACTACAGCTAGGACATGAATTTAGTTAATATGAGTATCTACTACTATAAGCTTCTTCTCACTTCTTTACTGATTAGGACCCGTATATTTTTCTTCTTCTTGTCAGATAATTATATCTATTTCATTCTTCTGCCTTAAATCTCTTTTGCATGTCCGTTAAGTTTTTGATTGCCATAACTTACCCTAAACCTTCATGATAACACCGGGGGGGGGGGACAGCAGGGGGTAATTTTTTCCCCAAATGGTTAATGGAAAATGTGACATGTTCCACCCACACTTTAAAAATCCAGAATTCAGGCACCTCAGTTTGCCACCTCATTCTTCTTAATGTGTAGACTGCCTCTGAGAAGAAGGAGTTTACCTATGGGCTGTATTCATGTTACTAGTGACCCAATACTTGGGCAGGCCTGCTTAGTACCTTTGGCCCGGTTCTCACAAAAAGCCATAACTGAAATGTGGCATACAAATACTGTAATAAAAACAGCTGATGAAGAGGTAAACCTATTTCTGGACTATACTTTTCCAGACTACAGATTGTGGCAGGCTGCATTGTCATACAAAAAAATATATCCCTACATGGAGAACACCAACAGTACCATTCCAAGCAGAGTCCTCCCCTTCTAGATCCATTGAAATAACTTCTAATGTCAAAGAAGAAAGTTCTCTCGTATCCTTCTTGTACTATTTTTCGACATACCAATAGCTCATCCATATGAAGGACTCCTACCTGTGCTCAAGAAGGCGTCTTACCACCTCATCTATTTAGGCAGATTCAGGTGGGTAGCTGTGTTGGCATGAAGCAGCAGAGTCCAGTGGCACCTTGAATATACTCTGAATAAAACTTTGTTGGTCTTAAAGATACCACTGGACTTGAACTTTGTTTCACCTCATCTGTTGTTTGTGAAAAACAAAGTCATAGATTTGAGGGGGCAGCAGGGAGTACAGTTAGTTGGACTAGAGACCTTGAAGGTCAAATCCTGTCTCAGTCATGATGCAGGTCAGTGTCTATTTTCCCTTCCTAAACCAGGAGTAAGAATGACCTCCCCTTTAGTGGGTTATTTTAGATTTGTGGGTTATACAGCACAACAGAAGTGCTGCTAGGATGGAAACTTATTTTATGGGCAGGGGGGCGGAATGGTGGCATATGTCAAGTTGGATTTTCCATAGCAAGGGCAACCTCTGTGCAGCTGATCTCTCCGCAAATTCATCTGCCTGTTTCAAGCTCAAGACTTGAAGCTGGAAGAGAGTATACTTCAAATCACATATCTCCCTGGCGAAAAAGAGTGCTGTGTCACTGGATATCCTTCTCCCATCCCAGTCTTGATAGCGACCATTTTCTATTTGGCATTCACTGCCTGTGTGTCTTGGCAGAAGACGGATGGGCAGATCTTTAATTGCACACCATCGTGTCATGAGGAAAGCTGTCAGGTGTCTTGACATCCCCATGGAAAGCGCGCAGTCATCAGGCCAGTTTGCTAGATGCATAGCTGTTGTCGAAAGTCGGCTAGTGCCATAACGCATTCACCCATTGCTATTACTCTATCCGCTGTGGTCTGTGTTCCACAGTTTGCTGAATGTGTCCTCCAGAGAGACTGCAAGATTTCCCTATAAGGCAACAAAGCAGCTTTTTCCTAAGCACTAAAATAGTGCCAACCCTGATCTACAGTGTTCATGAAATAGCTGGCCTATGAGGAAAGGTTAAAGCGCTTAGGGCTCTTTAGCTTGGAGAAAAGACGACTGAGGGGTGACATGATCGAGGTTTATAAGATTATGCATGGGAAAGAGGTACTTTTCTCCCTTTCTCACAATACAAGAACTCGTGGGCACTCCATGGAAATGCAGAGCGGTCGGGTTAGAACGGATAAAAGGAAGTACTTCTTCACCCAAAGAGTGATTAACACATGGAATTCACTGCCACAGGAAGTGGTGGCGGCTACAAGCATGGACGGCTTCAAAAGGGAATTAGATAAGCATATGGAGCAGAGGTCCATCAGTGGATATTAGCCACAAGGTATAGATAGGGGCTCTGGGGCAAGTGATGCTCTGTCTTCTTGGTGCTTGGGGGGGTCAACAGTGGGAGGGCTTCTAATGTCCTGGCCCCACTGCTGGACCTCCTGATGGCACTGGTATTTCTGGCCACTGTGTGACACAGAGTGTTGGACTGGATGGGCCTTTGGCCTGATCCAACATTGGCGTCTCTTATGTTCTTATGATTTTCTGGTTTGGAGGAACCTTTTTTGTTATAGAAAATGAAACGGGGTTGCCCTTACCTGTAACCATTGTTCATCAAGTGATCTTCTGTACAGGCAGACATGGGAACTACGCAGTCGCAGGCTAGCCGTGGAAGAGCTAAGAAGCTTTCTAAAAGATCTTTCTAGAGCCTTTGAATGCTCCTCCCCGCCCCCTCTCAGTGTATCCCTCTTCCCGCCCAAAGGCTCACATGACAGGGCAGAATGAGCACTCTCCCCTCAGCTCTCCCTTCCCCGCCATGAGGACTATGATTGACCTGAAACAATAAACAGTCCACAGCAGGGAAAGGAGAAAGGGATGTGTGCCTGCACAGAATACCACTTGATGAGCAATGGTTACAGGTAAGGGCAACCTCGTTTTCATCATCATGGCTTCTGCGCAGTCCCACATGGGAGTATAGCAAGCTCGCTAACTGAGGAGGTGAGTATGGGCTGATTAGCAGAAGATAGACTGAAGAACCGCGTTCCCTACTGACGCCTCCATACAAGCATCCACATCCATGGAGTAGTGTCACACAGAGTTGGATGGTGTTGACCAGGTAGCCACTCTGCATATGTAATCCAGTACCATGTGAGACGAGAAAGCTGCTGAAGAAACTTGAGCTATGGTTGAATGTGCTCTGATGTCAACGGGACATGGCACTTTAGCTGTGGTGCTTGTGGCCTTGATAGCGCTCACCGGTCACTCGCCTGCCTTGCGGAAAGGAAGCGGGCGAAGCAAGACGGGGGTGGCCCGTGCCGCTGAGGGAGGCGTGGCTTCGAGCTGGCACCATGGCAACCCGGGAAGGGTGAAGGCCTAATGCCTAACCAAAAACAAAAGCCACGCATTCCCCGCGGTTAGGAGCAACCGCAGGGAGGCTGCGCGGTGTGCGTGGCTTGCGGGGTCAGCTGCGGGAGTCTTCCACGCGGTGGAGGGGTTACAGCGTCGGATTGGGATGGGGGAGGCCCACGTGGAAATCCCCGGTTGCTGGGAGTCCTGGTGCGCTAGTTACACGATAGCGCTCACCATCCATCTAGAAATGGACTGAGGTGATGCTGATTGCCCTTTCTTACACCTTTAAAACAAACAAATAAATGTTTGGCTTTCCTAAACTGTTTTGTGTGTTCTAAATAAAACAGAAGTGCTCTTCTGACATCTAGTGTCTTTAAGGTTCTTTCCACTGGGGAGGTAGCGAAAGGAAAGAAAACTGGTAAATCTTGGTTAATGTGAAACTTGGAGACTACCTTGGCTGGGCCTCATAATTACCTTATCTGGTAGAAGGTTAAGGGGTGGACCGCATCTCACTGCACTCAACAGACTAACTGTGTGGAATTGAAAGCCACTAGAAAGGCAGTTTTGTGTGACAAAAATGATGTCAGCAATTGCCTTTGGTACAAACTGTT